GTCGTCTGCGAAGTGAGCTTATTTTGGTATATCAGATCCTTATGGTCCATTAACACACATGCCGACAGTTATTGCAACCCAGCTACAACATGTCACTGAAAAGCCACAATCTGAATTACACCACACAGTGTATCCGACTGGAATGCTGCCAAGACATTTTCTTTTCCATGTCGTGGAAAGCTTTTAGAAATTCTGTCATCTCCGCTCTTACCTTAACCAAATTCAAAACTCAACTTGAAGATGCATTACATCAATTATATTCCATAAGTTAAAGGTGTGAGGATCGCGAAGGTCTGAGAAGGATCTTATGAAGTCAGTATTGGGAGGAGCATTGCCCGAAGGAATCGAGTGCAACTGAAGCGACACAGGGAAAGGGAAGTTGGACCTTAGCGAGACACACGACTGATTAAGAGGGGTCACAACAGTACGGGCAACAAAGACCATGCGGAGCAGTAAAGAGTATTAACTTGTCAAAGATACCGATGAACCTGACCACAAAAGTTGAAGGATACGATGGGAGTTTGCAATCAGAAAGACGAGACGGATTTATGTGACGAATCTGGAAGGTAGATTGACGCAAACAAACGTAGCAGATTATTGGACATCTACGCATCGTCGACTCCACTCTGATTGGTCAATATTTGACTGCGCTGGAGTGACTTCGACTGACCGAAGCAAAAGAAAAATCTCATGAATGAAGAAACGTCGTTAGTTATGGTAGTGACCTAGTTATATACATCGAGATATTTACAGGCTAGTCGCACTGTCATTTTCGCTGAGACTGCCCTTCTGAGTAGACTGTTTAGCCCTGAAGAACCGAGTTCCGCAACACAGAGTGAGATACTTGTCCAAACAAATAAATGTTCGATGTGCTTTCAGGCCAATACTGAAACGTACACTTGGCCGCAGACCTGCTGATTCACTATTTCGACCTGAAATACCTGAGTTGAACTGAAACACCGCAAGATAGATCAGTCGACATTCATTTATTGTCATAGGAGGATGGTGAAATCTTGTGGCTCTTATGGCATTTAAAGTCAGGTGATGCTCAGGTAATACAGGTATTGCCAAACACCACTAAACATCATGTGAAAAGCGTTTGTACCATAAAAAACCGTAACTGCGGTCAACTTGCTCATAATCATTATGCCATAATGCCTTCGCTAGTTTACGTGAGCAGGCGGCTTTAGTCACATTAGAGGGCGATACCTCAGGTGCTGAAACAGGGTCACACATACAGCCCGCCTTTGTTCTCTTTCTACAATAGAAATAGGTCTTAATTCAGCTTATCACGCCCAGTCGTGGTGAATCGTAACATTAGAAAGTGTGCCAATGAAAAGTTGTCTTTTCCCATTAACAGTTATATTGGCTTAAGCTGGTTGGTAACTTAACAACGCAGGCTATACTGTTGAAGACCAACCTTATCCACCTAGCAGCAATAACCTGTATGGCAACGGGGGTGGGAAAGGTACGGCTCCAATCATAACTCAGATAAGCGTATGCTTGTGGGCTATGGAGAAACCTGCACCACTGCGAAGTTACAAATGAGTGAAATGACCATCCAGAGCTTCACCGGACGCACCGTGTCTTTATGACTGAAACGAAACTACTTAGGATAAAAAGATGCAACATTCCTGCCATAGCTGTCTTCCAATTTTTGATTGGAAAACTCCGGAAATAGTATGCCTTATCTGTCTTATGGAATGGATATTTTGGTGACTGACTAGTGGGCAGATTTAGAGAACGGGGATAAGTTTTTGGGTTAGAACATCCTTTACTTAAGAGCTGCAAAGCAAATTGATGTAGTGTGTTAAATGGTCATGGTCTACAACATGTTGGATGCTTCCGTAGCAGTGTGTTAATAGGACGACATTCTCAGTGGCCACCAGGAATTCACAAGAATCGATGAATCGGTTCAGTGTAGCTGTAGCATGTTTGAGTGTCAAAGGATTGAAGAACAAGTGGTAGCATTAAGGTCCTTCTGTGTACGTCGATAAGGAACTAGAGCTAGGTCAGTCGAATTCCAGAGGCTATGTAAAACCTTACGGTTTACGCAGCATTGCCGAATACACCGGGAACATAACCATCGCAAATCGAGGAAACCATGCGTCTGACTACTGAATGTTGGTTCCCAGCAGTCGGTAATTGACGATAGCCACTGCATTGAGTGCTACATCTGGGTCTGATTACAACCCTCACACACACTTCCAGCCGCACATGATGTCGATTATTTATTGATTCGACGCCACTTTGAATAACGGGACAATGGCTTTTATGAGTACGAAAGCCAAGGAGTATGAAGTCTTGTAGGATGGTCTGTGCGAAAGCTGCGTATTCACAAATACGTGTTATAACAAACCAACCGTGCATCTGTAGACTATCCAGGATATTCGCACACACGCAAACATGCATCCACCTAAGCTTATTTCATGAAGAGACTTGTGATCATAGTGTTCGTTTGTGTGTTGTCACTATTTGGTAAGCGTGGGTTACATGAGGTGATGCAAGTAGTTTAACGCATCGCGTAGTTGTTTTGTTAAAGTCAACTATTGAGGCCGCGGAAATGTCGTAGGTTGGAAGAGCGTTTCACGGCTGACAAATTTGGAGGGAAGTAATTCCAGCGACATTCCAGCATAGTATATTATTCGGCCAATCTCGGCTGATGACCCCCCGAGTTCGTGTTGTGTGATATGTTTTAGCTGGTGGTTAGAGACGTGTTTGGGGCCCTTCAGGCTTTGTGGATTAGTATTAGACTAATCAATACACGAAGGTACCTAGGTCAAGCAGACGAAGTTGGTGCTGGGTAGAGCCATGCAGGGTTTAAGTGGGTTGAAGTTACTACCATCAACGCCATTACTACAGCAAGTGTTACCATTGTTATTGTAACAAATACTACCACTGATGACATTAGCACTGCTACTGGTAATACTATTACTAATATTATTCTTATTACTGCTATTACTACTGCCACTGCCGTTGTTACAAATACTGGAACTACTGTTAGTAGTAGTATTGGTACCATTACTGCTGCTGCTGCTACTACTACTACTACTACTACTACTACTACTACTACTACTACTACTACTACTACTACTACCAATACAGCGTCACATATTATTACTAGCATTGTTACTTAAAGCATCACAACAACTACTATCACTAATACAGCAACAATATCTTCAGCAGCAGCGACAACAACAACAACAGCGACGATGACAATAACAACCACCACCACCACAACTACTACTACAACCACTAGGTACTGGAAATGTCACCTCAATCGAGAGCGAAACTCCAGTACTCGGAGTACTCAGCTCATATAGTCCCCAAACAGGTTGTGTAAAGCCGAACTTTTAACTATCTTGCACTACCGTGCGATATTTTCCCTGCGTGCAGGTGTGTTTGGAGGTAAGCATGAGAGCATAGGTCTGGCCAAAGTTTCGGAACCCTTAGAAGAAGTATGACATTACTGTGTTAAGCAGAACAATCGCATGTATATTATATGCATATTTTTGTCAGTCTTTGGTTGTTCTTGTCTTTGGCACTATACTTTAGCAATTATCTCGATTTCGATGCAGTGCTTCAATCTCAACATTTAAAGCTATACACCACCACTCTGCACTCTACTGCTTACAAAGTACTAAAGCAGAGGAACCTGCTGTATCAGTGACGATTACAATGGGACATGATGATGACAGACAACAGTTCACATAGAAAATACCGAGTAACGTTTCTCCGAGCAGCGAGCATATGTGGAGCAGCCACTAGGTGTCTGAATGCAAGAGGAGCGGAAGCTTGACCATATCGCAGTGGTGCTTTTACAGCTTAATCCAAACATGGATTTGGGAGGCAATAAAAGACATAAATCAACGATAGCTTTGCCTAGATTTCGGTGAAATTAGTCCTCCTTTCCAGCCTCTCAACCACGGAACGCTCTTCCAAACTCGGTTGTTTGTGCTCCCATCTTAGCCGTCTTTAACAAATGCCTAAACATCGCATTCAGCTCCAATCACTTTTCTTAAAGGAACGGGTATTACGGAAGATCTCCTGGTAACAGCATGGTTGGGAGTACAAGCTGCGTTAATGCGCAGAAATCAATATGTGCGAGTGAGCTATCCAACTGTCAGTTAAAAGGTAGTTGGCCATTATAATTAGTTACACTGTTTCTCATGTTACCATCCAGTTTCCACGAGATGGCTTCTAGCATCCTGTTATGCTTCCGCCTCCTTGATGCTCTCTTTAGTTTGTTCGCTGGTATAATTTTGGCTTTTGCGCTTCCCTTTTTGGCCAATCTAGCGACCTGTTAGGCATCTACATTTTAATTCGTTGTGTAGTAAATTCAGTTTCTCCATTTTGCACTTGAGGTATGGTTTCCACCTGCCCACCGAAACCTAGTAGCAGTGGAGAGTTGGGCCTGATGTCGGTTGTCCCCATAACAAGTAGATGCGTGCTTACGTAGAGTAACTCAAGGCCAGTTGGAGATAGTGCGCCACAGCTAGCGCCAAATCAGAAAACAAACGGCCGTTTCTTCCTATAATCACCCGTCAGTGTTGCGCTTTTTAAGGATCCCTGAATCACTGAACTTATGACCCGGCGGCGCCAGTGGCTTATGCCATTAGGCTATAGATAACGGTGTTAGACTAAGATAACTTCCAGAAGATCTTGATATATCGCGGCGCATTTCCTACTGCAATGAAAATTATGAAAGCTGTAGAAGTAAGGGTTGGCCCGTAGAGCCACGATTTCTCCTACAACAGTTATTTGGAATATAGCGTTTAAAAACTGTTAGGTCGGAGTTGGATGTGTCTCCTTAGAACCAAGTGGTCCTCTAGCATTTTCCCGGATCTGTGGTAGGATGTCTGGTTAAGAGTAGACTGTGACGAAGTAACTGCAACATACGTTGAAAATGCCAAATTCATACGAAATCAAGGGTGTTTGTTGGCCAAAGACGAGACAGACCATACTTGGTGCAACCGATGTACTGAACTAGCACCACTCACTTTTGTTGGCTGTCCCATCGAGCTCGTTTACCATAAATTCATCAATAGCGTGCTGTTCTGTGACACACAGGTTTTTTCTTATCAGAGCTGGGGCTATGATTTTGTTGATATTGTTGACTGCCTTCATGACTCCCTTTCCGTGATACTCGCGGCCAAAGTCTCGCATTTCGATCGCTTCATATGCACCCGTAGACGCTCCACTCGGCACCGCAGCCCTAAACAAACCTGTGAGGGTAGGACAGGGAGACTGAAACATAATGACTCAGTAAGGCAGGGTGGGTCAATTCAGAAATCAGAGTGTCTGTTCATTAGGAGAACATATGTACTGATACCTACAGTATGTTCTAAAAGCTAGTTACAGAATCCTAACAAAATTGCTGCTTAAATTATAACAGGATAGTGTGGCACCCACAAATCGTCCGTCTACTGGGATAGCCCCAAATGCAAGGCCCTAAACGAACATCTCTCCTTATTTTCGACGTCTTATTTTACAAGCTTTAACTAACGGGTAAACATGGTGGATTTCAGGATAAGATGCATGAGGCCTCTCATTTAGCAGTTGTCTACAGGCCTCCGAACTCCGCCGCAGACGGCGATGCTCTCCTGTTGGACGTTCCCCAATATGATGTTTCAAAGAGGTACTCACACTACCTAATAACTGTTGATTGCAATTAATATCTGCGCCCCCAGTTGGACCATACTTCACATCATGACCCATTGAGTTCATGAACTTGGCGATTTTACATAGTCATGTTGATCGACGAACCAGGCACTGCGGTTTAAACAAGTCATCGTTTCCAAACTTAATGACGATATACTAAAAGCTGCGGATGGTGTTAGTTTCATACGACTGTCTGCTAGGGTGTTGCGATAACTTAGTCCTAATATTTGGCTATATGAGTTATACCAGTATGGTTGTCAAAGAAGGAGAAACGACAAAATATTACTGATCATTTCTAGCTTTACAACCTGGCTACGAAAGTTGGCTGAGACATCCAACTGTGCAGACTGGCAAGTGAGTCATGGAATGAAAGAAAAAAGCAAAATTAACTGGGTCATGCAAGTAGCCTCAAAAGTTGTACCACAACGAGTATCGCAACAGACCAATACCTGGACCCACGGCAGGACGCGTAAATGGATCACCAGAAGAGACGAGATTTGGAGAAATGGGTTAGGCTCATGCGATACCAGAAGGAAGAATTAAAAAACTAGTAGTAACTACTGTACGTCACTAATTACAGTCCATAAGTACGAATGGCAGAAGGCCACGGTACTCAAGCGTACGAGCAACACCAAGTAGCTTTACAGGTATGTAAGCAATAACAGAAAGTTTAGGGTAAGAATATCATCACTCAAGATCGTCCATGGCCCAACAACTGCCACTGTGGGTACAACTATGGCCCTACTGCAGTTTGGTTCCGTGACTACCAAAACCACGTATACTTCTCCCCATCTTGTCCAACAAATGCCCTCTCAGTATCCGACGTCATCCTTACCCCAGCAATTGTCGCAGGCGAAGTGCAGTCTCTCCAAGCAAATCAATACCCTGGTATCGATAAGGTTAGTTCAAAGCTTCTTAAAACCATTGCTGTCATCATAGCAGTAGCACTTGCGACCTTACTCCAGGTTTACTTGAATCTCATACCCTCCTGTTTGGATGGAAAAACTGAAGCGTCCTTCCTAGGTAGAAAAAATGTAAGTGTTTGGATCCTATGAACTACCGACTTTTCTCTTCCCATTTTACCCAGTGGTAGAGTCGACACTCGCAGACGTAGTGATGCGGTGCATGGGAGGTCCGCAAATCATTTTCATTCCATATGCTTTCAGGCTCATATCTCACCAATGTACTACTGCCTCGTAACTTATTGACCAGGATGGCTGACGAACGGGATTCTTCCTAGGTGTGAGCTATCTTCCTAAGCACTTGACAGAGTCAGTCACTTAGTTCCTCTCCAAAGACTTAGTGTCTACTGGCTAACTGGCTCCATACTCACCTAGTCAGAAAATTAATTACACAGTAGAAGAAACGCAAAGAGAATTGCTGTCGCACACTCTGTATCTATACGTCTCCAGTGGTGCGCCACAATAACCTGTACTTAACCCACCACGGTTTTATATCTATATCAATGCACTCTCAACAAATATTCAATTTCCAATGCAAATTATGTACGGATGATGCCAAAATCTGGGGAGATCTTCGCTCAACACGCGACGGTACATATCTTCAAAGCGATCGGAACCAGATTTGTGAATGTACAGAATGGAATCAGCGTCCTTAACCGTGTAAAGCGCCAGTTTCTAGCGCTGCATATGATCATTAAGTGCGAGTACGAATTGAGACAGAACATTCCACAGCAAGTAAATGGTGACAACTTTTAGGCATTATATCGAGAACTTTTAACAAATTCCCTCCAATATTCGTGGGCATTGTAGGTGGGGAGTTCAAACGTATGGATTTTGCGGTACCCTTGAATGACAGGCAATACCGCAATTGACTAACTCCTGCATGCATCCTCAAGTTGAGCATGTCGTTGGAGCCGCGCCTATGGTTAGACCAATACATTTTTCGTTTAGAACAGCCCAAAAGAAGAGATACAAGGCAACGGGTAGATTATCTGGTCTCAATTAGCAACTGTACCTTTGTTCGGTTGATTTGTTTGCCTCAGAATACCGATGAATTCGCGGGTAGGTCGTTCGTATACATTATATAATGACAGAAAGTGATCATCCAAGCTCATCATTTCTGGCCCTATCTTCTTCAAACGCTGTTGAGGTCACTGCCTGCAATTAGTACCTTAGTACTCCTGCTTGGGCCGTAGAAAGGTTTTCTGACTCTTGAATTCTGTTTACACCGGAATGTAGTCATTATATCTGATGAATGCAACAAATATCGTGACCTTCGAAATACGTTTGGATGTTCATCTAAGCGGGAAATGCTGCACCATAGTATGCTAGTAACATTACTGGACTACTAATAGATCACGCTACAAGCTGTAGCATGTGAATATTCTTTAAGCATTGACTATCCTTTGGGTGTTGTAAAGCGGTTACATTTTATCCTATCACGTAATATAAAGCTACTGAACCGGATTAAATTGTCAGCACTGGGTACCTCAGTGACAGCCAGAACTGAGGTACACATGCGTTGAGTACAGACTCACTTTCGGGCTAACGGTATGACTCTTTCGAGGAGACGTGGAAGCGTATAGTAATATAGACAGTGCATAGTCATGTTCGTGTCTCGTCTATACTTTGTACGACCGCTGAATTAAGTCTGTGCATAAGTGTCAATATAACCGCAGCGTGAAAATAATAGACTGGAAAATCTACGTAGTGAAATCAGGCCAGTCAAGGATTTACCACCCCACTAATTGTAGTCCAACGTACGCAACCGTGTCCAGGTCTGTGTTTGATGGAACGAGCTTTGCACAACTTTCAGATGTTGGAGAGCTCGATGTTTTCACGGGTTGCTTGTGCGTAGTACTCTCCTACGTCACTGAACTACAGTTTTCTTGACTAGCGCTTCTGATCACACATAGGGTTCATCAGTAACCCTTAGGTGTGGTGCGTCAGTGATACAAACACCACGCTTAGTGCGAGTGGTTGCATAGATTCGTGTTTCTGTTGGGCACACTACTTGCCTGCCAATTACTATCACGCATCAAACTGTGTGTACATCATAAGACACCTTCTTTCGCAATCTATCCTGTTGTCTAACCGACACTCGGTATGGAATATTTAAAACACGTATCGGTTAAGTAGCTGTGGGTGCTGCTGGTTCAAATGCAATACCCTCGTTACCTGAAGCAAAACGCAGATTTTGGGGTATTTTAGACTTCTCAGCGTGGGCCAAAAATTTCACAGGCTGGGTAAATAGCATCTATTATAGAGCGGTAAAATTGTAAATGTAATACGCAACGTCTCCTGAGACTAACTGCATGCCTTTTTCTTAATAATTAAAACTGGATAGACAGTTGAAGACATAAAAGTGATACTACAAACATTGCAGTAAAATGGATAAAACCGAGTGCCCCCCCACCTCGGGGGATTGAACGAAAGGTGGACAAGCCCTACTCTAGTATTGGTCTTATGATGGAAGAGAATAGGCGAATGGCGACCTCTTCAGACCAAGTGCAGTAGCTACTTTTGAGCATCCAATTTATGCGCATTCCGTTATGATATAGTCTGTTCGTGTTGTTCAAGGACTTCAAATCGCAGCGCGAGAGTACACCTAATAAAAAAAATAATAATGTGTCAGCTGTACGCCGTAATGGCGCTTCGCTGCCGCGCAACCGTGTAAGATGTAGCGCTTGGCCGTTCTGTACGTGAATTCGGCCAGAAACACCGGCATTATTCAAATTACTAAAGGGATCTAATTGTTTCAAATTTCTCAAAAGACGAATTCCCGTTGATTTTGTCAGGCAGTTACGCCGTATTGTTAGTCTGAAGTGTAAACTTGTTTGCTGTCGTTCGGAAATATCTGCTCTCTCAAACTGTATCACCGTACTTCAATATCCACGTTCGATTTAGAAGGTGTTGCGTAAAAATAAGCTAAAGCCGTCCAATGGAAATCTCCGGCGCATTGCCTCTGCTCAATTGGAAACTGCTCAGACTCGACTCACTGCGCTACTCGAGACGCATTCCCGCCTAATGCCAATACTGGATAGCTTATCGTTGTGCTGCAGGATTGTATTTACCAACTTCTGCAAATTTACTATTGATCGTACAAAGGAGAAATGCAAAGTCCGGTGGCAGAATTCACTAGTTGATAAACGGGAGGAGCCTGCATATCGTGACCCCAATACGTACGTTCTAAACCTGTCAAATATTCCCCTTGATGCCTTACAACTGGAAGCATTATCGCTCGGAATGGAATACAAAGTCCCACCTGGTAAGCTAAACCGCTTGTTCATAGAGGCACAGTTTGAAAATTTTTATGACCAGTTAGCAGGATTACAGGCGTTTAGTCCAGATATGTCAAACTGGTTTAGAAACAAACTAACTGATATTGCCCATGAGGTCACAATGACGCCAGTGCGTGAGAAGTGTTTGCTTACAAGGCGTCATCTTTGTGCACTACGAGAGCTGAGAACAAAGGGGGTGATTGTACTTAAGCCAGACAAAGGCTCAGGAGCCGTCATTATGTGCAAGGAAGAATACACACGGAAAATGCAAGATTTACTGAGTGATGCTAACAAATTTAAACTCCTTACAAAAACAGAGGA